GGAGGAGGAGGAGGAGGAGGAGGAGGAGGAGGAGGAGGAGGAGGAGGAGGAGGAGGAGGAGAAAAAGAAGTAGTCTCACTGATCAGTATGAATAGTGCAGTAAGAACATGGAGAAAAATAGACAAATGGACACATGACAAAAAAGACAATCTGAATAGCTGCCGAACACATGAGACATTGTCCCAAACCATTACTCTTCAGGCCAACCAAAGGAATCTTCAAAGAGCTGTTACTTCCTGCACATCAGAGTGCTTGCTACAGCAAACAGTCACAGCATCAGTAGGTAGCAAGGTTTGGAGGGCGCATTAACAACTCGGCTCTCATTCACTACTGTTGAGTATCACATGAGCTGACCATGGAGGTGTAGGTAGGAGGATCGTTTATGTCCATCTGGGGCAACATAGTGAGAACTTGTCAAAAATAAAAGTGTAAATGTGACCAATTTGAAGAGCTGATGGTGTTTGTTTTTGCCTTTACTAAAGAGGAATGTAAGTACTTCACAGTCCAAACCTGAGACACACTCTGAACTGTGGAACAGGTGCATCAAAACATGCCTTAGAATGATCCCAGAAACACCACTCACCAGAGTCCCGAAGGCTCATGAAAAGAAAAATAAAAAGGTGTATCTATTCATTATTGTGTTCTCAGACTACCACAATAAAAAAAGAGTAAACTCCTTTATGTATCAATGTGAGAGAATTCCATAGATGTGATGATGTACGTAGTAAATTATTCTGATGCAGCAGAAATTAATTAGTGATGATGAAAGAGTAGTGTTTATGATTAAAGAAATACTGAGGGTGTGCAAAGCAGGCTTTAGGGACCCCCAACTATATTTTGCACTTTGATCTGAGGGTAGCTGCACAGTTTGTTCATTTTGTATAGTTCATTAAGGTTTTTAAATTTTATTGTCTGTATGGTATATCTCTACAGGTTAACAATTAAGTATATATTAGTTAGAAAAACAAGTTTGTCTGAAATTTTAATAATAAAACAATGTGGTTTATTTGATCCAATAATCCAGTTTTCGTTTCCTCTTTTCTCCAACATCAAAAACCTAGAGGTTATTTAATTTTTAGTTGCAGTAACTGTATTAATTTAGGTAGTTTATTTTACCTCTCTTCTATGGCTTTGCCCTTTTAAACTTCTATTCAACCGTATGGGCATGCCACTTCAAATTCTTTCATGTATAAATTATTGGTAAAATGTATAAGATATATTATTTTAGATACTTTTTTTATTCTAGAAAAACTAAAAAATGAACAATAAAAACAGGATAGTTTTTTTATTCTCTTCATAACTAAATGAAAAAGACCAGAATGCCACCAGGTGGAGACAAAACCAAAGACCTAATCAAATAATATTCACAGATACACGCAGAAACACACACACACACACACACACACAAACGCACACAAATGCACACATACATGTATTTAGTATGAAAATATGAAGTTTCTAGCAAAAGAAACAAAAAGCTATTATATTATCAAATCTCATGATTTAATAGTATTTTAGTGACAATCTAGGTGGATATATATATAACATTGTATGCTTAATTCTTTAGATTTAGCACAGGTTTCAAGAAATCTTACCTATTTGTTTAGGTTTTGAATAATGAGTAAGTAACAGGGTATTTTGTGCTCTTGTATTTCTTCAGAGAAGTAGATTCTGTACTCTCGTCAGCATCTCAGTTCCTACAGTCCTAAGTTATTTTCCATGCCAACCAATTCTTCTTCTATTGTAAGTAGACATCATTCAAAACTCACTGAATATTTCCAAGTGGATTAAATTTAGGCACAGCTGGCTTCATTTCTTCGTCTGTCAGTTAATGGGATGCTGCTCCTTACAGGGGCTTGGATTGTTTGCTTGGGATTTCAAACCAGTGAATGGGTAAAATACAATTTTTGATAGCTTGCAATATTCTAAAGGATTGTCCATAAAATATACTTCCTAAAATTTGGGCAAGAGTTCATTGGGTGTCCCTACATACTATAGAAAAAATAAATAGTAAGATAAAATTAGTTATTCTTGGATATCTACCTTCAAAAATCATCCTCACTGAAACTTGTGTGATGGTCTGTTCATAACCTGTAACTCCATCACTCTGTAGGCTCAAGCAAGCGACGATGAAGTCAAGTCAGCCTGGGCTATAGGGAGAATCTGTTTCACAAAACAACTAAATCAATGTAATTGCAATATGCTTGCTTTGTAAAAATAACATTCTGCAGGCTGGAGAGGTGGCTCAGAGGTTAAGAGCACTGCGTGTTCTTCCAGAAGTCCTGAGTTCAATTCCCAGCAACCACATGGGAAATGGGAAGAAGTGTTCAGTGGGCATAGCATCTCATTTATGAAAATGTCTAAGTTCTAGGTGTTCGCTGGGTGGCATAGTGCCTGTGGGTTCACTGTCCTCTGCATTTACAATTTTAAGAGAGCAAGACTTATAAATGTTTTCCTACAACAACAACAACAAAAGAAAAAAATTACATAGAAGAAAAATAGCATGGAATTTTATACGGAAGGAGAGATCAAATGAACACAGTTTTGGCCTAAATAAAATGCATATTTCACATGTGAATATGCGGTACACATACTAAAAATCTAGATGTAAGTCATCACATTTAAAAGTAGTGGCTGGGAGAGATGGCTCAGGCATTAAGAATGCATACCGCTTTTGCAGAGGACCAAGTTCTGTCTCCAGCACCCACATCGCTCAGCAGGTCACAACTGCCCTCACCTCTGGGGGAGCTGACACATTCTTCTAGCCTCTCTGGGTACATCCGCTCACATGCACACCACTCTCCCTCACACACACACACATGCAATTAAAAGTGAAAATAAGTCTTAAAAATATATCTAGTAGACCTTTAAAAACAAGTGCAGCGTCTCCCAGAATTTTCTATGTCCTCAGCCTACCACAAGGTAGGATATGGACGTAAATGGGTTCTGTTTTGTGTGCTGGTAGACTAACTAGCAATACACAGTCATTGTTGGCTAATATTCTGCTTTTTTTTCTTTTTTTTGAAAGGAGAAGCCTGTGTAAAATTCATTGCAACTTTATTCAGTAATACGCTAAAATTGAAGTTTCTAATGGTGCAAACTATTGAAAATCAGGATGTGTCTATAATCTCCATTGAATCAGAGAAATCAGAATTTTCTAAAAATAAACTCATTTGACCTAAGGGATGAATTTTCTAGAGGCCAAAATTAGGAGTAGGAATGTTTTCATCCAAACAACACCTAGTATTGGGCAGATCTTTTTTATTCTAATACTGTGTTTTAGCTCAGTATTTGAATGTATTTAAATGAGTCATCAATGGAATATAAGAAATCTAAAATAGAGTCAATGATTATCCAAGTTTTAAAATATGTGATGGTTGTCCTAATTTCATTTCTGTTGCTATGACAAAATGTCCTGACAAAAAGCAACTTAGGAAAGAAATGTCTCATTTTTTTTAAGTTTTAATTTCTGTGTGTGTGCATGGGATCTTGTCCGTGAAGTTTGTATATTTTTCTGTCATGTTCTACCTCATTTTTTTTGAGGCAGTCTCCCACTTAACCTGGAAATAGCCTTTTATGCTA